TTCAATTTTAATAGCTTCCAACAGAGGATATGAAAACGGCGAATGCTCCATACTTTTTCTCCCACTGGCAGCAGAGTCACTGCAATCGCAGCCCTTCATGTTTCGCAAGCTGTACTACGTGCGCAGAACAGTCCAAGCTACCGACTCCCAAATTATTGCTTTTTTCATATCACTCGCCTTGTCTCAGACAATTGCGTGCGGTTTGTTTAGTGGGATTTTCTACTAAACGCTACTTCCACCTGTCAAAACTTTGTTTTTACAAAGACTGCTACTCATTGTTAAAAGCGTAAAATACCTCCAGATCGTTACCATTTACCTCATGGTCTTACGCTCGTCGTACTGCGAAGGGGATGCACATGACGTCACAGTAGGCAGAATTACTTTGCCTCATATGCTTCATAAAGTTTCTACATGGATGTTGCTTCATGTACTTGTCAACCTTGCGAAATCAATGGGGTGGGTTTTTTCCCCTGAATGTGCATTGATATCAACCTCCATAAACATACGTACACAGTGAGCAAGTCTCGACCATAGCGTGCCAAGGACAGGTCCTCCTTTATTAGGCTGAGTCTGAACTCCTCATTCACCGATCATGTCTGTGATTTTCTCGATGTTACATTGCTAAAATCTCGGTAGCCGTTGAACATAGTCATTAGATTAAAAAACGCACTGCTGTGAATTGTTAGACCCAGAAGTGTTTCTATCCTGAGTTCATGTGTCTCCACCGACATTTTAAATGATTTCTGAAGGTTTATACCATCAAGTAGCTTTGGTGGAGTGATCATGACCTCTTTGCTTGAAGTCATTCTGGAGGTTAACCTTTTTATTTGCCCATGCTAAATAATTCACAGGCAGGCCAGTCATCCCAAATCCAGTTTATCTTGTGAGGTCTGATTGATATACATCCTATTGACCTGTGTTGGCCCCTTTCCCTAGTCTGTAAACTATCAAATGTAGTAGAAGATTGACAGGCCAAAAGAGCAGCTGGACACACTCAGCATGTGCCCATCTCACCATCTAAAGCAGGCTGAATTTAGATTAGTGATGTCTAGTGACTCCTAGGAGCCTGGGATTCAGTTGGAGTAAGAAAGGGAAGTAGCTAGGGCATCCTTTGTACTACATATTCGCTAGTGATAGTACATTTCCATGGCACTTTATATATGCAGTTATGTCATCAGTATTGAAATAACGATGTGGTTGTTTGATACCCTGCCTTTTGACTTTAGGCATCCAGTGACCGAATTCTCATCTGTGATGTTTTGACGTTTGGACTGAAAAGGGAAATGTGTTGATCTCCTCCTCCGGTATTGTATTGGTCACAGTCATGTAAGACACGTTACTGTTCCTTCTGTATTTAGCCCTGTGCTGTATCGACATTGTGTGTAATGATGAGGTGATCGATGTATTGCGTATCAAATTTCATTTTTTCAAGAACAACAATGATACGTCATCTGTATTCATATCATGTCAGTCCTCTGACAAGGAAAAGAGTGATTTCTTAATATGTAGGAGGTTTTTTTTTTTTGCATCGATAGCAGTAACAGGCTCAAGTCTTAAAACTAAAAACCAAAGTGTGCTCCTTCATGGATCTGATTAAATGGACTTAAATAAAAAGGATTTCATCACCCTCAGTTCATTTTTTTAATGTAATTTTTATTCTGTTTCTTATTTATTGTAGCCGAATATGTGTTGCATTATTCATGTTTTTATTTAGTGTAGGTCAATGTCACCTAATATCAAAAAGCAAACATATTAGTCAGTGAAGCTTTATGCTTGCCAAGTACGTCTGTATATGTGTGCGTCACTGTGTATATTTAAATATATATTTTGGGTTTCGTATGCAGTAGGTTACATTCTGGCAGGGACACTAGAAGCCAACTGGCTGCTTTTTGTGTGACATTTTTGTCTTTTGGTTTGTGAAGCGCATGCAAAATGAAGCGGGGGGAAGCCTCTGTTCCAGGTGTGTGCATCATTCTGGGTGAGGTACTGAAGGATAACCTGCACGGCCACAGTCCTCCAGAAGAGGACCTATAACACTATCTGGTGGTTTTTAAATGTTAGGTACAGTCAGATATTTTGAAGCACCCCAGAGCTAATTTTGATGTTTTTCTGCTTATCTGTGGCTGAAATAAGAAGACTGTTCGGATGTTACCTGTTGACACAGTTGTATTTCACTGGAGCAGGATGGCTATGTACAGCATAACAAATATATGACTGAAATGTCTGTTATTATCCTACATTTGTTATTAATGTATATTAAAGCTGTGAAAGGGGCAGTTCACCCCAAAGCTGATGTGCTTTAGGGGGGCTTTAGTGCTGACTATCTATCTAGGTTGTTCTGCTGGGAGTTTTGAAGATATCAGCCTTAGAAATGCCGGTTTTCTCTCAAATACCACAGAAGTTATCGCCAGGGGTTCCTGTTCTCATGCTCGTGTCTTTTGCACCATGATATAAGTGCTGTGTAGTAGAAGAAAATAGTTCCTAAATTTAACTACTCACTACAAATCCTGTGGATTTTCTTGAGTATCCGGGTTATGATTTCTGGTAAGAGATGTTGCTGTAAAATTTTTCGAATGTATTTTTTCGAATGTACATTTTTAGCCCAGCATTTCTATGGCCGATATCTCCGAACCTTGGAAAACGCCAGCAGAACAACCTAGATGATTAAAGAGCCCTAAAGTCCCCCAAAAATATATCTGTTTTCAGATTTGGAGTGAACTGTCGCTTTAAGGTGGGTTAGGATGTTAAGGTACACTTACATGCTGCTTATGAAAGTTCTGCGAATGCGTTATGAAGGAGCAATTAATGTAAAGCGTTACCAAATAATTATTTTTTAATTGACAGAAAAGGTTCATTCTTGTGGCCTTTTCTGAAAGACAATGGAAGCGCATTATGTATGATATGATATATATGCGCCCATGCTTAGTGTGTGCTGTAGTGTACAATAAAATACACTGGCATGTATTCCTAGAAATAGACTTGTCAAGACTTGAAGTAGTCTGTTCAAGAACGTGAAGTTAATAGCTTTTATTTCCATTCCGAATAACAACTTTTCTGGAGCACTGGGATTTGCACATATCCATTAAAAATAAATATAAGGACAGACACAAGATGAGCCATCAAATTTTAGTGTTCTCTCCTTCAATCCAGTGTTTTTTTGCCCACTTTTGACTCTGCTTGAATGATTTTGTTCTGCTTTTCAGGTTATCAGGTGTCTTTTTCTTTCCCAAATTGAAGATTTTCCAGTCCTTCGTGGCAGCCTTTCCCTTTCCAGCCAACCCCCCCCCCCCCCCCAGCATGATCAAATATAAAGACAGTCGTGCTGGACATCCGCTTACAGAAGCAGGGTACAGGGCTGGGCTTCGCATTCTTCCGGACAGCTGAGGGGAAGCACTGTTTATACTGATGGTGATATATAATGAGACAACTAGGGACAAAAACGTTAAAGTGGATTTCATGAAACAGAAGAGAGAAACTCTCCAAACCAAGGAGCTTTTTAATTCTGTTGGTGCAGCTCTTGTTTGACTGATGATAGGCATCTGTGCTGTTGCCGGACCAATCAAGTGAGCATGTATACATACCTTCTCAGTGCATTTGTATTATACCCTGAAGAAAGCACGAGCTGCGTGTGCATTTTCAGCAGTCCAGTTCGGACATGTCATTATAATAAAGACATTTTAATTTAAGCATTGTCTTGTTTTGGAGAGATTTTCTTTTTTCTTTATTTTTTTTCCAAAGAACACCTGACTCAAGCAACTTTTTGATTTGTCAATATAGAGCACACATACAACTGCTCTTCTAACATATTAAAGTTCATATTTAGTGTCTCTTGAATTAGTTGAAATCTGCCAGTTTTTTTTTATTTTTTATATTTGTAAAACTGACTCAATTTTTGGACTGTGGTTTATTTATAGATAAACCAATAATAATGAGAATGCTGACATTAGTGATCAGTTTTGGTTGATTGTGGGTTGGCCTGAGTACATCTATGTTGTGTGGGAGCAGAATCGTCGATCTGTTTTCAGTTTCTTTGTCAGCTGCAAATTGGATTGACTGTTGTAACCTTGTACAAACTCTGCACAATTTGCTTGTTTTGAAAAATTTGTGCTCCTCAAAGACCTGACACTGAATATTGAGAGTAACCTTTGACAGCAGATTATTGCCTTAGAGCTGTAGCCAGTTTAGGTCACTGGAAATCCTTCTTTCCAAATACCTTTCTGTTTTATATATCTGAGACTGTTTGTACAACTGGGAAAATGAACTTCTCCCCTGGTAGACTCTTGCTCAAACAGAAGAATGTAAAGACTGGCGGCCTTTTGTGTAATATTGCAGGCATGAATGTTTTGAGATATATTCTTCCAAGCATTCTGAAAATGTGAGATGTATTGGCAAGGAAGACTTACAAATCAGTAATCTGGCTTGTCTTCTTAACCTATTGTTTTTAATTTTTAAAGGGTTGCGGGGTGAATGAATACTTTTGGAGCGAGAGTTTAAAATTTAATGTTGTATCTGTAATCAACCAACCCATTTCATCAGCTTTCTACACAAAGTTTTGAGCAGTTGAGTCCCTGGAGATGTCAATCCCCATTCTGTTTCGCAAGGTGATGATTTATCACCAGTGCATGAGAAACCTGCCAAATATGCCACAAAATAAAACAATTTCGTGGGGGAGGTGTGTGACTCAGCGGGTTAGGCCTCTGTTCCTGCCGTCAGAAGTTTGCCAGTTCGAATCTCACGCTTGGAAAAGAACTTGCATCTCCATTGGGTCCTTTAGAAAGTTATTTAACCCCCTGAAATATGCCGTAGGGGTCCTGAGTGGACGGCCGACCCTGCGTCCATTCCCAAAGATTCACTTCTGTGATTGTGTGTACATATTGTAAAAAAGGAAAACAAAATGTGATATGTAAAACAAACAAAGAATAACATTCCTCCATGAAGAGAACCAGGCTGGAGGTGGGACATTGGGTATTATTATTATTTATTACTGTTTTCTTTTGTAGATAAAGAAGTATTTTGAACTGGAACCACTTGCAAGGGGGAAAAGTTGGATCCTAGATGCAAGTTCTGTGGACAACATGGAAGCCGTGAAGGAAAGTTTCTGTCAGCTGATACATCTTCTGGAAGAGAAAGACACAGAAGCTGGAAGGATATGAAGCTGCTCTTTCTGCTGGAGGAGGTTAATGATAAATATAACTATAACTTAATGAGTAGCTGACAAAAAACAATTGGCATCTCAGTTTGGTATATTGTTGATACTGGGAGAGTGTTGTGAACTACCAGTAATCCACGGTCAGGTAAGGTATCCCAAGGAAATTGTAAATATCCTGTAACTTTCCATCAATATAATCCCATGAAAGGTATTTATGAAAGACAACAATTTTTAATGAATGGCTTGTAAATGACATGGTTTAATTGAAATGTGCAGCATTCTGTCAAATTAAGTACATGAGAAGTTCTGTGCTACAGATTTTTAACACATGCCTGACATTTACATTAACTGGAAAGCATGTTTGTCAAGTGCTAAAAGACTCCCATCTAAATAACATGGAATGTTTTAATGATTCAACTTTGTAGTACCAGGCCTTAAATGAAATGTGCAAAAACTCATTTATTTTTATGCGTCTAAAGTCAAATAGCCTGTAAAACCCTTTGTGTCCCATTTTTACCCACCTGCAGCGAAGAGTGAAGAGACGCCAAAACGCACCTGTACTTATAGAGGTGATAGCAAAGGTGCGTCTTATCAGAATAAAATCAAAATAGCTATTAATTACATTTTTGTACGTTTTGCTAATAGTAATTAACCGAAGCATGTTGTGATGCTTAACCCAAAGCATGCACTGTGGAATCTGAGAAAGCATAGGTTTAAAAAAAAAAAAAAGGAACCATAAACCTTGTTGCTACTTTTGTATGCACCCACAAATATGTAAAATTATACCTTATGGACATGCCAACTCAAAAACAAGAGTAATCTGTAAAGGTAATGACAGAAATACTCTACAATATTCTGTTTTAAGAAATAAAAAGCATAATAATACTACTAATATGGCCAAGTGTGAACTGTCATAATATAAACAAGTGTTTGCATGCCTTTATGGTGATTTTTAAGAGAAACAGAGGTTGAAGAGTTGACTGAATAACATGATACATTGTCAAACAAAAGTGATAAATACATTACAAGGTGTCTTTTTATTTGAATATGATCAGCCTAGCACATTGGATAATGACCGTATAGTTGTCCTCATTTATGCAGGTAGATATCTGATTGAAATCGTCAATGGACTTTGAAATCGTAAATCATACCTTACTTATGGGTATTTCAACACTTGCAGTCTGGGGGACACAGAATCTGTAACCTTAGCATTCAAAGTTACATATACTTAACTGCTATGCTTGTGTCAGTAATGATTATTAGTCTAAATAATCTGCTAGCGCTGCTAGAATGTACCTTGCCTTCTATACAAGAAATAACCTCAGAAGTACTGGGGACAAATCGATCTCCCCTTTTACCAGGATAACTACGATGATTATAGTGGTCACACTGACTGAATGTTTAAAACAGGAAGGTTGCAAAGGAATATTAGGTAAGATAAGAGATGCCATTGTGCCAGAATATGGAATCAAACCAAATATAAATCTGAAAAGCACATTGAGTTCCCAAATTCTGTAAATCAGTTCAATCTTTGGGTTTCTCTCTCCCAGTTCACGTCTTCATTTTGGCTCCCTTACTTATTTATACCTGGGTCTCTTGCATTTTTTGCTAATACAAGCTGTGGAGCATTTTGTGTAAGCATCAAAATGGAATTTCCTTTTCATATTCCACATAGAAAGTGGTTCGGCTACCACACAGATACTTTCAAAATTGACATGCACATGTTACATTGTTGACCAGCTCATTGATATGTCCTTGGACTTTGCTGTGTATGACTCTAAGCTTCTCTTCATGGTGATGATGTGCATTTATCTATATCATATAAAGGAGCTCATTTGGCAGTCATTAAGGAAAGGCAGTGTGCTCAGTGCTCTGAAGTTGATAATATTTATTAATGTAAATCCTCATACATCCTCAACATATTTATATTTTATATGTTGAAGAATAGGCTGTGTTTTATTCCTGAGAATGTTCCCATTATGTCTTCATCTTTATGTTACTATTAACCAAATAGGTGTATAAACATTTATTAATTTGTGTTTTGGTATATTAAGGTAATGTGAATATCACCTCCGTATAAAAGAAAGCATTTTTTTCACTAGCCAGTTAAAATGGCAAAAGGTTGCTTTCTGCTTCGATTTCTTTTTTTTATTTTATTTTTTTTAATTACACCACATTTGCAATTCCACAAACACTCTGGAATTGGCTTCAATTTTGCTACTCTGTAGAACCACATCACTCATTTAACTCATTAAATAAAAACCAAAATGCTGCGTACTTCAGTCATATATTTATTAAATGAAACGGCATTCAGTTAATTGGACAGGTTTGTTAGTGACGTTTGTTACCATGATTCCAGAATTTTGTCATGATTCTTGAGTTCCGTGCCTGCAGAAATGTGTTTATAGAGTTAAAAATGTAGCATTCCCTCTTCCGCTAACTGATGCCTTTCTCCCTTCTCAACTCAAGACGATGACTACAGTTACAACTATTCCTTCTTTTCTTCTTTTACCGCATCATTTTGGTTTTCTTTCAAATATTGTGTGCCGCAGATTTTTGTAGTGTTTCGTGCAAGACAGTTATCAAGGTGGGGGAGAAAGTTTTCTGTGATGCATTCAGTTTTTTTTGTTTTTGTTTTCATTTCAATTTTTATGCTTGGTGCAGTTTGTTGTATTTATAGAACATAAAAAAATTGATATAGCCTATTAGCACAGTCAGCTGCCTTTTTTCTAATTTGTTTATAATAGTAAGAACTTTGTACATTTATTACCGTAATCTTGTTAGTTTAAAATAAGTATGCCTCTATTTGTACTGGAAAAACAAATATGGACTTATATAGTTCACTTTAGTGAGGATCTGTAAGTCATTCATATGTTCTACTTTAGTTTGTGTAATTTAATAATAAAACAATTTCCACTGTCCAGCAATGACAATAAAAGCTGAATGGAGGACTGTGGCATTTGGGCTCTTTTCTATGGTTTCATAGAGATGTTTCAGTTAATACAAAAACGTGGAAGATTTAACTACTGAACCCCCACAATCCTTTCTAGGATAACCTATGATGGATGGACTTAATAAACAATTACCCTCAGATCAATGAATCACTTTTATTATGGCAATGAAATCAGTCAGGAATGGTTTACATCCATATGTGCATGCTTAAATATCCAGGTGTACGACAATCATTTTCAATTATATTGAAGAATTTAATTTTTAGTTAATTAATCAAAGGTGTGTGTGTGTGTGTGATTGTCACTCGTACAGTTAAAGCTACTGATTATATGAGGAGTCTTCACCTGGTAGTCTGGGTCATGCAAAGACCCCCCAGCCCAAGGACATTCTATTATCAGGGACCCCCACACCTCCATCACCCCCTTTGAAATATTTTTACAACTGCCTAACAGTCAGGCCATGTGGATGATGCTTCCGTTTCAAAATCATGACACTATTTAGCTTGTACAAACAAATATAATGGGACAAAATGTTTGCAAGAGAGTCACAACAAGAGTACAGCCTCAGAATAATTAGGGTCTGACTTGGTCTCAATACAAGCTACGTTTTTCATAAAGCTTGAATTTATGGCAGGATTGCCATTCAGAAACTACTTGTATCCAAAGCCAGTGCACAAAGAGGCATATCCAGGTGGAAGGAGCACGTGATTCCTGAGCACATTCCCTTTTTTGGAAAAAAGTAATATTTCCTACATCCAGATGGTTTTATGTTTGGACTAAGTCAAAGGATGCCTTCAGCCCATGATTCCTATTGACTCCTATAGTGACATGGGCAGCCATGTGATGGAAATCATTAGGTCCAATAACCACCAAGGAATATAAGGCCATTTTACAGGTCCAGATGTACCCTTGTTGCAAAGATCGCTCATGATGTTCCCGAATCCAAATATTACAATGTCCATTTGCACATTGACAACTTCAAGAATGGTCTCATGAGCAACAAGATGAACAGCCAAATCTAAACATTACTGAACCGTTCTCCACCTTATCTTCTTGAATAATGGCCCTGGATCCCTCTACACACAGTCCAGAACTTGTATTGCAGCATTACAAGATGGACTGAAACTTCTGAACGCAAAGGATGGCCCAGTCCTTATAGGTCCTAGATATATGTTTTTAACGGTTTCTATTTATAGTCTTGGTATATACACAGCTTTTCTGGTGTGTAGCTTAAATTATGCTCTTTCAATATCACCTAATTTGAGGGGATATCGATATAAAGATTTCATTTGAGATTGGATTGAGATTGATGCTTTCTTAACATTTGGACAGTGTGAACTGGGACTTTGCCATCTTGCCCATTTGACTTCCTCTACCAGTCCCTGGAGGATGGGCTCCCACTTGGAGTCTGATCCCTCCCAAGGTTTCTTCCTTCTAGGGAGTTTTCCTTGCCACTGTCACCTCTGGCTTGTTTACAGGGGGCAAACACCCATAATAATGGGCAGGAATAATGTAAAGCGCTTTGAGACAATGTAATGTTGTGAAAATGTGTATACAAATAAAATTGAATCGAATTGAAAAATGTAGTTTTTTTTTCCAGGGTAAATTTAGAGGGACGGTAAAGGTCTCTGGTCTCTATGTACATAAAATGTTGGGTGTCATAAAAACATAAAGCTGTTGACTTTCATACCAATTTCAGTTACAGAGACTATAAGTATCTTCCAAATAACTCAAAAGGTGATATCAGCATGGGGAAGGAATGATCATTGAAGAGGAACATTGAAAAGCAAATTAAAACAATGAAGTTTGCACGTTAATAGGGACATAAAGGAGAAATGAAAGAACACACCTGTGAATATAGTATACTTTATTTGAAATAACCATGTTTTATCTAACAGACTAATACGATACAAGCTGGGAAACTATAGTGGCCTCATTGTGCATTATCAATGATTCTAGTAACTCTCAGGTCCGCAACGATGGATCATTGCCCCAACTTGGGTTGTTTTCTGGCTTTGTGCCCTCAGCTTCAGGGATAGGACCCCCCTCGTGAATTGGACAAGCAGTTACAGAAAATGGAAAATACAACAAATATTACATTTTCAGTTTCAGAAGATTTGACCTAACACATAAGTAATAGATCTTTTAAATGGTCAGGGTTTTTAGTATTTTTAAGATTCTTTTTTTGTTAATCATGATTTAAAATCTGAAATGTTATGCCTTTTACATGACCAGACAATGTGTGTGAGGTTGCAAATCTTTAATTAATCAAGCTAAATCAGTTGCCCTGCTGTCATTCTCACAAATACTTATTCTTAACTGATTCTTGAATGTTAAATGTTAAGCAATTTTTATAAAAAATAAATTATCTCCTTGATTTTTTTCTGGCATTGATACCTCAAGCCACAAGTCTCCCCCACTTTTTGAGATAACTTACCTTAATTTACTTAATTAACTTTTTAGTACATTAGATTGAGCATTTAATTTTAACATTGTATTCCAAATAAGGGTGGAAATTTTCACAATCCATAAAATTTTCTGACCAAATTAGAACTGAAACTGACATCCCTGAAAGATACATGTGAATGATGTTTAATAGTATTAAAGATGATCTTTACTGAAGTGTAGAAGATTTTTATGCTGCTAAATTGCTGGTTTTACTTCCCCTGTATCGACTAACTAGCAAGAACCATTTGTTGCCCATCTGAAAGGCAAACCACACATACTGTACTTCCCAAGAGAAAGTCACTGACATTATCTTTATCCGAGGGGAAACTCGGGACCCCTGTTGCCTTGACGACCTCCTGACAGGACCAGAAAAGCAACAGCTGGCCCTCATGATCCTGTTTCGGTTATCTGGGACTGTTTTACACTTTCACAGCGAGGGGTCAGCTTGCCACAGCCACGGTACTGTACCTCGAAGAGACGCTTGCGATTCAGGGAACTGAAAACAAACAAATGGCTCCGCATCTTCAGTTTATCTTTGAGCAGAGTCATGCAGGGCTGACCGGGTCGGCTGCAGGCTCCTCGTGTTTGTACTTTTTGTTTGTGTTTTGTTGATGAAGACACTAGGAAACGAACCAAAAGATTCTGCTTTGGTTTAAGGTATTTCCTATGGGTGTCAACAGACACCTCTTGTTAAATAAACACCAAGTAACACCTAGAGGTGACAGACACTTTGTGTGAAATTACAGAAAGCGACAATGGCTGAGCATTATGAATTATTTTCAGAGAGTAAATTCTCAATATGCCTTCATGTCTATTTATGTTTTCCTTTATTCCCTAACTGTTTCCATGTTGATGGTATACAGTGATGATATATATTTATGCCAATCTTTTTTTTCAGCTGCATCCCATTATAAACATGTAGACATTTAGGTGGATTATTGTATTTGCAGTACACTGCATTGTGAATCACCTGCCTGAATTATACTTCTGGCAACTGAAGAGTTTGACTAGTCATGCATTTTTTTCTAGTAATACTCACAGACTTTCCATCGTAAGAGAAAACATTTAACAAAATACATAATCTCATAATACTATAATCTCAGGATATGAGACATAAGCAGTCACTTTAGTAGTCATTTTATATTTAAATGTTACTTGTTGAAAACATACTAAATTGGAGTGATAAGTTAATGTTCAAGCATTCCACAGGATTTACAAAGTGCCGCCTAATTAACTAATAATTGTCAAATTAAAACATATTATCACTTGGTGTAGTGTTCACGTTAATTGGGTGATTTCTAATTTCCTTTTTATTTTACTTGTACTATGGGAGGCTTTTCCTTTGGAATTGTTTTTCCAGCACCAAACAGCTGTACCCCCCCCCCCACCCCCAGTGATTCACCGACAGATACACTGTGCCCCCCCCAATGATTCACCGACAGATACTCTGTTGCTCGAGTCGTCAGCATATCAAAACAACAACAACATTACTGATAGCACACAGTTTCTGATGAAAAGAAAACTAGCCTCTTCATTAAGAAAAATAAAGCCGTTGGCCAATGAGATTGGGGACCTTTTTATCTTGGTGGTTCCGCATTCCGTAAACTTTTTCCTGTATTTACACAAAATCCCGATGGCAAACAAACAGAGAAACACAGCAGAGGAAGTCAATGAACTGCAATGAGATGTCAGCTGTCTGGGAGGTTTCTCTGAAATTCATTGCAGTTTCCGGTAATTCTAATGGAGGAAAAAAGGCATTTTGTCCAGAAGGGACTGAACCTTGTGTTACTAAGCTGACAAAAGCTCAACATAATTAATGTCATGGTCGGCATTATGCTTTTCAGATTGGATGTGTGCAATAGGTAATTGGGTACAAAATAAAATGAGACCAGTTATTCAATAACATTTTTAAGCCTATAGACAAATATTAATAAGCATACTTTAGAATAAAAACAATTAATAAATGAATTCAATTAAATGATACGTCATTAACAACCCTTTAAATCTGAAAAATATTAGACTTTAAATATTTTCTTTATAGATTTTGAGCCAGAAGTAGGAGGTGGACGATTCATTCAGTCCAAACAATTTACAGTGGAAAGTGCTTGTTGTGACGACACTATGTGGGCATGTTTAGTACAAAAAACAAATGTTTTAAGTGTGAAGTGAAATAGCCATTTAGTTCCACGCTAAAGTATACAAGCAAGTTCTTTCCAGGATAACCATCTGTGTTTTTCCAAATCTGTGGTGTTGCATCACCTGCAATTAAGTTAGAGGGGCACTATACTTAGTCAGATTCTAGACCGGAAGCATCAATAATAATTAATATGAATATAATATAAAACTTCATGTCAGATGGAATTAACTTTGTAAAAAAAAAACATCATAGATTCAGATGATAAATGGGTTTCAGGATAGAAACACAGTTATCAAGGAATTATCCCAAGTAAAGTATTTCATATTTAACCATGTACTACTGAACATTACTGATGGTACCTGTAACAATTTGTAAATAAATGTAATTATAACTAAATTAGAATAAAACCTCTATTTGGAT